TTTGCAAAAATCCCCGCGTTTCAACGATTTCCTGGAAATTGAAATACGCCTGATACGTGCAAGGTAAATGAAGCCACGCGGATATCTGATAATTTAGAATCTCCCGCGCGGATTAATTGGCCATCGTATCGCGGCTCGAGAAAAATTGTTAGAAGAACGCGCACTGAGAGAGAAAAAATAGCTAATATTACCAAATTCTATATGGAGAGAATATTTCTTTTCATATATATATATATATATATATATATATATTCTTCTCAATTTTACTACACTAAGAGAAAAGGAGTAGTTGAATCGACAAAATCGGCAGTCAAATTACGTGTTAGCGTAACGATAAATTGATATAGTTACTGACTAAATAATAATCATTGAATTAATTGATATACATATACAACTCATCACAGTAAATATATAATTCGTTCAATCTCGACAAACGTTTGCTCCAACAAATTTTATTCGTTTAAGCAAAGCCTCATTAATTCAACTACTCTTTCTTTTCGGTATATAATTTTACAAGAATAAATTGACAATCTTGTTGACAATTTTGTTAAGGAACACGGTAATTTTCGGTAGAAATGTAGAAAATTTGTATAGCACATTTCAGTTCCTAAAATGTAAGCAGCACATATGAAAGGATAATGAATTACGACAGAATGTCGATCTATTCCTCGGTTACAAAGTTCTATAGTAATTTTTATCATAAAATTCTCCCCGCGTAGTTATTTTCGACACCAACTACATTTTTTTCTTAATCTAACAGCAAAATAATAGTGTACAATATAAATATGAGATTATCACACAAAGAAAAATACATACTGCATTCAAGAAAATATTGTAGAAGATAACTATTATTTATGAGAAAAAAGATAAACTGAGAAATCGCTTTTCTCAGCAGTAGAATGATATTTTTCTGTGTGTATCACTGACACTATTAGTTTTGTTACTACTAGTAACAAAACTACTACAAAAATGTTTGCCTCGAAAATTTATCGCTATACAATTATAGTTACAAACACCAAATACTTTTTGCAGTGTGAAAACGACGGTCGGGGAACGCTGTTTCAAGAACTCGGGAAAATTGATCATAAAACGCCGAGCAAATTCAATTCAGTTTAATCTTCTCGAGCACGAGAAAGGGGAGTTTCAGCGCCGCCGCGTTGAACTCTTCAGTTGTCCCAACAACAAATAAAATAAGCACGTAATATCCAATTTTCCGGGCTTGCGTAACACGCACACATAGATACATACACACAGACAGACACACGGGAAATCAAATGCGCGCCCGTGTGCGTTACGTAATGCAATTAAAATCGAAACTTTCTACATTCGATTATTCGCCAGCGAGCATGACCGTCGGAACGATCGTCCGGTTCCGTCAGCTCGGATAGATTTTATGGCGAATTGCGAAGGTAAACCGGCGCTGACTTTTCGCGGCGACTTCCGTGAATAAGTCTCTCGCAGAGAAATCGTGGCGATCGTGACGACGCGACGACTTTCGTGAAATTTTCTCGCGGTTCTCGCCCGTTCTCGCGGAAACGAATGTATCGGAAAACCCATTTTCCCCAAATCAAAACGCCGCGTTGCTACCAGATGGAGCACCGCGAAAACAGCACGACGCACAATGGTCCAAATCAAGCTGTTAGCGCGAGAAAAAGGAAAGTTCTTCTTTATTTAAAGTATCATAGTGCGCTTTAGACATTGTAGACATTCCAAAGTATTGTAAATTACAAAACTTTAGGGATAACATTCATCTATAATGTCATACATTGTAAAAAAACTTTGTTTCTATTCTCGAGTATTAAGACGCATTTAAAAGTCAATGGCGTTTATCAAACGTCACTGGCCGCTATATACACGAAGTGTTATTTGTTTATGAGTTTATTGAAATAGCGGAATCACAATTTGATACTTTCCTAACCTAATATTTCAATACTTATGCCTTTGGAAATTTCATAACTTGAAAAAAAGAATATTTCAGGCGTTTACAGATATTGAAATCATATCATCTAATCCAACTAGTGATTAGTGAAGAATTCACATTATAAAAATAAATACGCGTAATTGTTACATACACAGAAAAGAATGTTTGGTTGGATTAAGCAAATTTTTTGTAAAATATGAACGAATCAGATATTGAATCATCGAAACAAACTTTTTTCCCCATCATGATGTTGTCATCATGATTTTTCTAGAAACGCCCCTCAATGAGACGTTTGATATTATTTTCGTAATGGTATAAGTTTAAGAATTTTTATGGGAGATGGAAATGCTCGTTCAACTAAAAAATAACGTATTTATGCAAAGAAGAACGTTAATGAAAATTTACTCGAAAGAACTCTCATGAAATTATACGATAAACTTGTTATTTAGTTATACGTCCTAATTGCTCTAATTGAATATTTCACATTACATTTTAACAGTTACAGAACAAAGTGGATGATAGAAAAATAGTGTTAGTGAATGTTTTTAATTAATTCGTACTAGCAAGCAGAAGTGTACCACTGTGCGACGTTGGAATTTAATCTCGACCGACCAGCCGAACCAGCGGAGCGTGCCGGTCCCTATTTATCACCCTGCGTTTAATTTCTCAGTCACGGGATTGTCCAATTGTCCATCGCCGACAATATTTTCCACTCTAAACCGTGGAACAAACAAGTCCCTCGCTCGCATAGAACCGACAGAGGACGCGCGGGAAAACGGAGCGCGCATAAATATTTGTACGTAAATATCGAATTTTTCGGCAATCCCAGCTGCGTTTCGGTCGAAGAAAACTTTGCAAAACTTCGCCTTCCTCGCGGCTGGAGCACTTCTTTTTACTGATACTTCCGCGGAACTTCTCGCTCGCGTGCGGTCTTCACGTCGCGCAAATATCGCCGCGCGCTTGCTTTGTTTTTATTTCCGTAAAATATTGCCCGTTACACGACGAACGTGCCGTTATCTGCAAAACGGCGAAGCTTTCTCCGTCTCGTCTGGCGAACGACGAGATTTCCTCAAGCCTCGATTATGGCTTCAACGCCGTCGACATTCCTCAAATATTTGTCTAGTCGGCACCTGCTTATTCGCGACTTTTCCCTCAAAATCGAATCCACGAGACGCGGTCGCGCCTGTGCACCGACAACAAAAGTGCTTGATAACGTTTGGTTGTTACACATACACGCGCGACGCGACAATTGAAAATTATATACTCGTCGGTGGAGAATTTACTGCGTGTTACGTGTAGGGGCGAATTTAAATTATTCGCCGGCATGGGCTCGCATCACATTATAATAACACGATCGTTTAAAATAACACGGCATGTGGCCGGCACGGCCGGAATCGCGGGAGGCGGAATTTTCGCCAAATTATTGCAAATTATCGAGAATTAATTAAATCCCCCGATTGCACCGCTATTTTAATCGCCATTCCCGCGCGAACATTCGAAGCCGGCCAGGGACACATATGAGTACACACATCGGCGTGAAAGTCACCGCGAATTGGGTATTAATATTTGAAATTATCGTGTGTATCAGTCGTTAAGGCCGCTCGAGGCGCCGTTACTTTGTGCTTTAACTGCGTCAATTTTTTCTCATCGCAGCTCGAAATGTTTTCACGCGAGCGGCTCTGAATCGATCGCTTAATGATCATCGATCGTGACTGTTACGCTCCAGCGCGAAACTTATTTGTCTGATAATTGTGCGACGTAAATGTGAAATGTGCGGATCGCAGAGATAAAGAGAGAGAAAGGGTAGGAAGGAGAGAGAGAGAGAGAGAGAGAGAGAGAGAGAGAGAGAGGAGGAGAAAGAGAGACTCGTGCTTCTCATGTGAGGTGAATATCTTCTTACTCTCACACACCGTAATATGTGAGAGTAACCCAGAATATATCTTGACATATATATCCATCTAAAAAGATATAATCTCATCCTTAGGAATCCTCTTATATATGGCCTCAAGAGGATTCTTCTGAAACCAAAAGGAAGATATTCTAAGCACGATATTATTCCTTCTCATTAGAAGAATGATACTCTTTGGGTGAAAACTCTTGCTTGGAATATACAGTTACACACAGAAAAATGTCAGTCTGCTGCTAAGAAAAACGGCTACTCAGTTTACTTTCTTTCTTATAAGCAATGACTGCCTTCAAGAAAGAATATTTCTTTAATAACAGTCTTAAAATATTCTCACCACAAATTTGAAAAATGTACATTGTCATGTACTCCTAAAAAGAATTTGTTCTCTTTACAATAATTAAACTTTATCGAAGAAAAAGTTGATTCAAATCTACATTGAGAAAAAATACTGAGAAATTTATTTATGCTTATCCACACAGCAATAAGCTTTATATCTCGCGAATAAATGTTCAAATATTCTTTTCTCAGTGTATGTAATAAGCAAATTAAATTTTTGTTTTAATTTAATATTTTTCGTTGAAATGCTAATATATATTTGCTAATATATTCAGAATTTTAGATAAATTTGATTCTTATGTGACGAGCTCTTATGATAGATTTACAAATATACTTATAAAATATTTAAAATAATAAGTAACATTAACTTAAACTTAACATTAATTTATCTGTGTGCAGGAAATAGTACCTTGCAACTAGAATTCTTTTTTTGAGTGTTAGAATATTTTCTTCTTGATTTTAGAAGAGTCCTCTTAAGGATACTTTTAAATATACAAGAGGATCCCGCTAAGGATGAGATTATATTTTTCGTGCGTCAACACGAAATAATCATGTAATAATCTTATGGCATTAAAATCACACGCGATTTGCTGTCCAACTACGTTCGAGTAAAATGTCTCGACAAATTTGCGTGCGTGCGTATGTATTTCATGCCTGCCTATGTTCTAACTCAATTACTCCATTAAGACTGAACGGTACACGCGATTCTTCGCGAATCGTTTTAACGCGATCGTGCCCGATTTTACTAATTCAACCGAGGGTGTGTTGTCACGTAGACGCGGCGCTCTCGTTGGCGCGATGGTCAAGCAGCTGCCATCAAGCAGCCGCGATAAATACCTGGTGACCGCGTCCGGCACGAAGATGTTCCACCAGGACGGCCTCTTCTGCCGGGCCTGCGGATAGAGCCCTTCGGTGCTGCCAGTCTGTGACGGTGCGACCACACCTTTCCGCCTCTTGCGATCCACCTTGGGCGGCTTCGCGAGCGGATGCCACGACTTCCGGCGTCCCTTCTTGGCCTCCTGCGCCGCTTGGGCGCGGTCCTCGCTCTCCGGGATCTCGTGATTCTCCTCCAGCAGATCTTCCGACACATAGAACACCGAGCCTCTCCTGCCGCTACCGGTGTCGCTGCTCCTCCTCTTCTCCTTAGGCTTCTCCTTCGTGATGTCCTTGCCGTTATCCTTGGCATTCTCTTTCTCATCGCCAAACATGCTGGCTCTGCGGGCTCGCTGGAAGAGACTATCCCGTCGGGCCTTCAGGTCCTCCAGGACACTGTGTCGGCGAGCCTTGCCGTCCCGCAGGATAGCTGCGGCGTTCTCGCGCTGTTTGCCGACAGCGCCGAGGATCCTCGCCAAGGAGGACTCCTGCTCCTGAATCATCGCCGGGATCGAGTTGGTCGAGGCGTACTTTGTGGTCGTGTGACCGTTCTGCGGCTCGTTGCTGATGTACATCTTGGCGGCTGTTTCCATGCTAATCGGAATCACCACGTACGTCCGTGTGGCCGAGACGTTTTCACAATCGCGCGCTGAGCATCGCGCGGAGACAGAAATAGAGAGAGAAGATACGTCGGAAACGACGAGTTCGTGTACCTTGCGGCGACGTCACCGAGGATCAACTCGCTTGATCGGATATTCACCGCTCTATTCACCGCTGAAACTGTTTCCTGTCGTTGGGTTCGTCACTGTTACCGCCGGGTTAACGAGCCGCGAGGTCGTGGAAGGTCAAGCGAAAATGACGAGGTATATGCTGATTCCGCACCGCGACCGCGTCGGGAAGACGTCGTGGAAGTTCGCAGTTCCGCGAAGCCGTCGGGGAGTTGATATCTTATACCGGTAAGATCGCCGAAGGTTAAGACGACGCGCATAGAATATGTATACACAGATTCCGAGGGATAACAGCGAACGAATGAAGGAACTAACCGACGAATCTGGCCGACAGGTTCCGACTCGCACCGACCGATAGCTTCCACTCGCGTACAACTTGTTGTTACAGCCGAAGAGGTCACCGAGGATCACGTTATCCACCGAGATTAGATTCTCACGACTTAGGGGATACGCCGGAGATTCGCTTCCAAGAGTCGTTTCGTGTCCGCGAGAGAAGACGCGTCACGACTATCGCGGCGATCCCGCCGTTGTCGACTTAATATTACACACCGACGAGGTCGTTGAAGGTTATGCTGCGGTGTCCGCAAATTCCACAACGCCGCGAAGGGAATAAAGCTCTCTCTTTCTCTCTTTATCTTTCTCTCTGTCTCTCTTTCCTCTCGCAACACCGTCGGTTTGACGATCGCGCCGTATACACCGGGTGACCGTCCAATTTGCGGCACGATCGACTCGGTCCTCTCGCCGCGGACTCGTTGTCGTTCCGCACGAATTCTCTCACCGAATGAAACCACCACCGCCGCCGACAACGACGACGACGACGACGACGACGACGACCAGCTACCAGAGAGGAGGAATATACCTGCTGGGTGGCGCGATTATTGGCAGGTGGACGTCATTTTTCACCAAGGCACGGGGCGACGCGACGGAGCGTTAAAGCGCGATCGGCGGCATTATTCCAGCGGCGCGGCTCGTCGGTGAAAGCAGCCGTACGGTCGACCGCCTTTTCACTCCCGACGTCGAGACGACGGACGCCGACGCGGTCACTCTCGTGAAACGCGAGTGCCACCACGTTGATAGGCGTGTGCACGTGTGTGTGTGTGCGTGTACATACGTGTTACGTGCTCCGGTCCGCGGATACGCCCGTGGCGAGAGGAGAGCACGTAGAGAGATCTGCGCGATCGTTGACCCTGCGGGGAGGGGACTGACCGTGTGTATCTATTTTCTTCTTCGTTTTTCCTTTTATTTCACCTTTATCTCTGTCTCTCTACTTATTCAGGACGTCCAAACGCACCATCATCTGCCCACCTTCGAGACCCTCCACGCCGCGGATGGACGATCCTCATCCGGTGATTTAATGGATCGTCGACGTGTTCGCCGACACACACGCCCGGGGAATAGAGTAACGGTCGAATGGTCGGTTCTCCCGATTTCTCGACCCTTCCTCGACGCGACCTCGTGTCAGCCCTCACCTGCCGCGGGCAGCAGGTTCAACGAGGCTCCGTTCTTTCGCATCACACAGAGCGCGAGCGACGAAAACACGAAGACGGTCCTCCGGAGACAGGCATCGGGCCCAGAAAGCGACGATCTCCCAGCTCGTTCCCCCGATAAACAAGTCCCTATCTTCTTCTCTTCCTCGGAGCAGACAGGCAAATAGGTTAAGCCGTTGGCGCCGGAGCAGACGAGCGGCTTTATCCCGTGCGTGCTCTTTTTCTCTTTCTCCCCGAAGCTCGTTATCAGACGGAGACACGCACGCACGCACGCACGCACGCACGCACGCAGGTAGGCACGCAGGTAGGCAGGCAAGCACGTATGTCACGCGTACACGTATACACGGAGCGCACGTCGACCTGTTGGAAGCGTATGCGAGGCACAGCGAGAGCGTCGAGCGACGAGACTCCGAGAGAGCGTTGATCGAGGCGCGCTCGATCGACGGCCGTCACGTGAATCGGGTATCGCAGCGACTAAACGCGAGCGAACGCGGCCGCTTGTATTTATACGCGTCCTGCCGCGGGCTCCACTGTCTTATTCTCTCACTCACTCTCTCTGTCTCTCTCTCTCTCTCTCTCTCTCTCTCTCTCTCTCTCTCTCGCTCTCTTACTCTCCCACGCGCGACGCATCCCCCCTCCCCCATCTGGTGGCGAACGCGTGCATGAACGAGAGGACTCACACGAGGAGAGATCCTGCGCATCCTGATCCTCTCGTCATCTGTAGATTCGCAGGAGGTCCTGCTTTGGACGAGTCCCGCCGTTGTCCCGCGTTCTTTCAATTCACGTGGCAGTACGTGAACGTGCAAAAGTGCGCCTGAATTTTTCAGTAACATCCTGATTTTTTGCTACAGTCCTTAGGATAACTTAGGTTGATATTCATAATCTGATCTTACATTGAATTATGTAATTTCAGATTTTTCGGATAAAATGAGGTGATTGTGATGTTTTATAATTTTATGAAACGATGCGTGCACCATTTTGATCTATAATCTTCTGTTATCCTTCATATACATTGTTTCATCAAATTATGACGACATCAAAGTACAATCATCGCATTTTATCTCGAAAATCTGAAGTTGCTTATTACAACACAATATCTAAAATTGTCTTAAGTTTATCTTTAGATATTTCATAGCCAATAACATGATCCGTACAGTATCTGAAAACGAGACGGTCTTAGATACAAAATCTAACCAAGAATACCGTTCCTATGACGTATCTTTCGGGCCTTCATTAGTTATTGGTTGAAGTTGATGCCTGGTAATCGTTTAATACGCAAATTTACTTCTTTTTCGCAGGCGAAGATCGTAAACAACGTTATCTTCCTCGAGCCTGGACTCGCATCGGTGGTATCTCGCGCTAAATGCGGAATATAAGTGCAGACCTTCGACTTTAAATACCGCGACTTTCAGAAGGACGCAAGGAGAAACGCGTATTGGGAGATGCATCCCGCTCACACTCCTGTCGCGTAATAAAATGCAACGAGTGCATTTAGAGATGCACGTAGAGATCCGCGGCTACTCAACGGTTCTGAGTTAATTAACTCTAACATGGAGGTCACAAGTTGCGCTGCCCATCTAGTAGTGTGTGTTTATATATGTGCAACACATTTTTCTTTTTCAACTTTGCGAGTTAACTTTGGCGTGCCACCGAGAAAGAGGAGAAAAAGCCGTAGGAAAATGCAAGAAAAGAGAGTTGACAAATGGAGTTCTCCGACTGATGACTCGTTTGGAAAGTCATCTTGTTTTGCGGCTGAGATGAGCCGGGCGTTTATACAATAGGTAGACTTTAACCTCTGATCCCCCGGGCATTCTGACTGTTGCACCGCGTGGCATTGTACTCTTTTTCTGCGGCTTTTCTAAGAAAAGTTCTTAAACTACTCGACTGCACATCGACAGTCTCTTTCTCAGGATCGCGCGCGCGCTGCGACTCCGCCTTAACGAGATAATCTATAACCGAGTTAATCAATCCGATAATAATTCATCCGACGAGGACGACAAGATCAGGCGAGGGATAATAACGGTGATTGAACGGCACAACGAGGTATTGGCAATTCCATCGAAAGCATTGTCGCGCCACAAGTGCCGCTGATTCACGGAAGGAGGAGGAGCTCTGAGGTTCGCGACGTTCACGCGACGTTCACGCACTTCTTTTACAAAAACGTACCAAAACTGAAAGCACGAGCGACGTCTCTCGATTTCGGGCTAGCGATCGTGTAACACTTTCATAAGAGTGGAAACATGAAAAGTGAGGAGTCTCACGTGAACTCGACGACTTCAGCGATCGTGTAACTTCTCGCACAATGGAAGAGTGAAAATTGTCACGTGGAATTTCTCACAAACTGGCGTTAGAGAGAGAGAAAAAGAGAAAGAGGAGGAAACAGATCGACACGATCGATATTCGGATCAAAAATGCAGCTGAGTCGAGCAAATGCCGTCGGCAGATTAGACGCGTCTAATGCAATACTTGGTGCATCGCCATCACGCAATTGACATCACGTGCCTCCAAATAGATAGATTCGCTCTATCTCGAGTGTCCGATAAGACTAATTGATAATAATGATAACGGTCGCGAACACATTATCGACGAAGGATCCAATCGAGACAGGCAAACAAGCTCCATCCAGAATGACTCGCGAAGAGCGATTAAGACGAAAGAGGGCGGAGGAGGAGAAGGAAGAGGAGGAGGGGGAGAGATCTCGCGCGAGAGTCGCTTTGTAATTAATTACGGCCGATTTCGCAACGCGACGGGGGATTAATGGAATAGCCAACAACTAGGAAGACGCTTTCCGAGAACGTCGAGAGGAAGCTTAGTCTCCGACACTCCAGATATCGCTCCTCTTCGCTCAAAGCTGCAGACATTCAAATCGATCGCGCGATTCGCGATATCAGGCGGCTGTTAATTCACAGTCTGCTGCGGAATATTTTTTTTTCTGTCGATCGTCGCCACATGTCTTGGCGTCCCACATGCTCTTGACCCGATTCCCGGGCCGACGAGAAAACGACCACACCCGCCGTGTGTTTATTCGGACACTCTTTTAGATTTATGGGAGCGCGGCTGCATCGCACACGACCGATCATCCTCCCGGAGTGTGGCCGTAACGACCTGGCCGTTCGTTCTGCGTTTAACCCTGAGAAAAACGTGTGCGCGCGTGGGTGACACGGCCAAACCAACCTCCTCCTCCTCCTCCTTCTCCTCCTCCGTCTGTTTGCCCGCCTTTTCTACATGGAGAGAAATAATATCGAAGAAGTAGCAAATATTTACTCGGTGGGTGCTAATGACGTATTTACGCAGATCTCAGTTCCTTTATTCAAGTAGATTAAACAATTGCTTTCATAAAAAGCTGAGCTCTTCCTAAAAGATTCTAAGAAAATTTGATTAGTAGATTTTCTTATTTCAAAAATATTTTATATCAAGTACAAGTAAATATGTTATTAGCAACCACCGAATAAATATTTCTTTCATTTCTTAGATATCTTTATTTCTCTCAGTGAACACTAAGAGAAAAAGTATCTAAGAAATAGTAAATATTGGTAGATTCATTATATGTTGTAACAGCATATTTACTTGAACTAATCAAATATTTGTTAAATAAAAATATATATATTTTGTTAGAGAAAAGCTTAAGATAACCTTAATTTTTTCTTACAAAGCTAGAAAAGCTTAGTTTTTCATGAAAGCAATTATTTCTTCCGCTTAAATAAAATAACGTAGATTTAAGTAAATATACTATTATCTACAATATTGTATCTACAATACAAATGCATCAATTTTTACTAATTTTTAGGTATTTTTTCTCTCAGTATATACAATTCGGCGAAACGCACGGCAAAAACAACTCCATTGACGTAACTGAATTTCCTGTTACTTGGGGACTAGATAAAAAAACTCGACTGTAGAAACAAAATGATTCCCGCAAGAGGTTTCTACTCGCCAATTGCTCTCAGTTATCTCAACCGAGTTTTAATGTAGTTGAATGTTCAGACAAATATTCTCGATCACAGTAAAAAAAATCTAATTCCTCGTCAGCGAGTTTTTCGTCTGGTCCCCGTTCAGTTGTACGAATTGAAATTTTTCTATCATGTAGTCTTGACATTTTACAAAAATAAATTCGCACTTACGCGCAATGCGTATGCACGTTTATGTGATATAACCGTTGATCACTTCGACGAGATCGCTTCCCTGCTCATCGTATCGTGTTTATCGTTTATTATTTAATCGTATTTTTTCTATCATTACAGCCACATTGTTATGATAATAATTTCATTAAAAACATATAATCCTAGGAAACTGATGAGAGCTACACACGTCAAGGTTGGCAAATTTACCCAATTTCGCACCCTAGTTACGTCGACGTCGTCATCGTGTCAGCGGTCCCTCTTGTTTACTTTTATTCTGTGGGGATTAAATTAAGTAGGACGGAAAAGAGGAATTCCGGTGCGGAAACACGCTGGATTTGACAGTTCCGCAAATGAACAATTCTTTCGCGGAACTTGAATTTGAAAAAATGTGACTTCTATCGTGCGCGTCGTCGGGAGTTAACTTCAAGTGAACACATCGCTGTCTCTTCTTTTATTTTCTCAAATTAACAATTATATAGCGAAACGAGCACGATTTACAACTTCGCGTTCGAATCAAGAGTTCGTCGTACTGCCCGTTATACGTACCCCAGATCTACTACTAAACTTTTAATCGCAACTTCAACTCGACAAAGAATTGAAAGAAGAGGAAAATTTTATCGACCGCGAATTTAGCAATGCTTTGTTCGTACGACATTTTCGAGTATTGTTACACACCGTAACTTAAGTTCTTGACAGCTTTATCTTAAAACTCTATTAACTGTACGGTGAAAAATCCTTCCCAGTAGAGAGCTCTTCTTGCCAGAGTCAGATACTTATATCCAGAAAGATATTACAAATACTTAACCCGATAAACATTGCAAGTACACACACTGAAAGAAAAAATATAAATGAATTTTTCAAATAAGAAAATATACATTTTCTTGAAATATATCAGCTTTTCATGGGAACATTTGTTTATTTTATTCAAATAAAGTAATTCAGATTTAATTTGTTAAATATTCCTTCTCTTAGTGTATCAAACGTGATAAATTCTATGAACATCAAAATTGTATGAAATCTGACTGATAAATCGTCTTGATAACAATTATCAAACTTCCCAACTAAAAAAACCTATACGTCCGACTGTTCTCATTCGTCTCTCTCGAGAGCAATATCTTCTGTACGTGAGTCGTTTAAAAACTACGTGGCCTAAGAACGTGAAATTGGTCAAGTTTTTGTTATTCCAAAGCAGTCTTTTATTGGGTTTAATATAACAATATATAATGATCTGTCAAATAATTCATCTTTATTTGTTAATAATTCGTCTTTATTATTTGACAGTACGTCAAAGTAAACTCTCCTGCGTTTGGTCAATAAAGACTTAAACTTAACTAAACTTAACGGTCAATAAAGACTTAAACTTAATTA